ACCAGGATGGTCTCGATCTCTTGACCTCGTGATCCACCCGCCTCGGCCTCCCAAAGTGCTGGGATTACAGGCGTGAGCCACCGCGCCCGGCAGCTTCTTGGACTTTTAAGTGAATGGTAACCTGTGGCCACATCATGCTCTACTCTGATTTTTAGCAATTAAGCCTCAAAAAAAAAAAAGACAGGAATAAATCCAATCCACATGGCTCTTGTAAAAAGGCATCTATTTGGCTTTTAATACAAAATGACTTAGAGAAATACAGCGAGAAAATATTATACAAGCCAGTTACTTAAAAAAAAAACAAAAAAAAAACAAAAAAACCCAACCAACGAATTTGTCACATTGGGCCTGCATTAGAAAACAGGAAACAAGAAAAAGAAAACAAATAAAACAGTCCCTGAAATCTGGCAGGTGGTTTTTAGAAGCCATGGGAGCTTGCCTTAGTCATCCTGGTGAAATGGGACAGAAGTGGTTTTTGGAATATGGCCACCGCCTCCTCTGTTTCTTGCTAGTAATGGTCATCTGAAGGGAGGGTGCTAGCCTGGGCAGCCAACATTTGACGTCACTTATGCAGTCTGAGGTCTCAAAGACAAGCAGCCTTGGAATCTTCTATTCCATATCTTCACTGAATCTCTCCCATATACAGTCTCTTGTCACTCGATGCTGAGATAATGATGGGCTCGTCAGGGTGGAAAGCAACTTCATTGATGGAGCCAGCATGGCCAGGCAGCTTATACAATATGCTCCTGCTTGTAGTATCCCACACATACACAAACCTGTCGCCTGAGCCAGCTGCTATTTTGCTTCCATCAGGTGACCAAGAACATCTCAGGAGGTTCTTTTCAAAGTTGTGCACATTTCCTTGAAATATCTTTACACACCTCTCTTTGGGGGCAAATGACCGGACATCCCAGACATGAACTGTATTATCCATTGCATTGGACAAGAGATAAGAGCCTTCAGAACTTAAACTCAGGCCAGTCACTGAATCTGCATGGCCTCTCATGGTGTAGGTTAGCTTGTTCTGGCGTAGGTCTCAGACCTTGACATCATTGTCTATTCCACCAGAAATAATCTGATCACTTGTGTCATTGAAGGTCACAGCTAACACCTGGTATGTGTTCTGAAATGTCTGGATAGCTGCTTTCTTCCGGATGTCCCAAAGCTTAACTGTGCCATCGTCACTGCCAGTGCAGACAAGTTGAGGCCCTCTCCTGGCTGGATAACAGGAATTCACAAAGGAAGTGTGTCCCTTGAGCCTTTTAACCCTCTCACCTGTTTCACTATCCCACACAGCCACAGTTTTATCTGTGGATGCTGAGAAGAGCATACTGCCATCTGTGTTGTCATGCAGTTCCATCACTGCTCCACTGTGTCCCTTCAGTG